TTCACATACGAAGCATAGTCACTGTAGTGCAGGGTGAATAATGTACTCTGGTAACGGGTCAGTCGTATACGCTTTCTCAGAGACTCGGTGATTGCGCCACCATACCCTGCTTTGCGCATCAGTGAGTCAATTGCCTCCATTTTTGTCCAACCTGCATGCCAAAAAGACACAGGAGCATTTATTACCAGCACCAGCAAGCAATACATACCCGAATGATTCATTGGTAACAGAGAGTTCACACAGCAATTTGGTGAACAAAGCAAACTGAAAAAGAAAAAAGCTTAAAGAGTTCGTTTGATCTTCCTAAGATTCTAGTCTAAGCTGGCTAATTGCCTTGATTTTGAAATATCAAAACGAAGAGCTTTAGTGAAAAGAAAAAAAAAAGTTAGAAGACACTAAAACCAAGAACTGGAAAAGCATCACTGGGATAGGATACCGTAAGAAACGTAGAGAAAAGACACGTCAAACAACCATTCAGAGATAGATGAGCATTCGAATAAAGACCTATTCTTTAATCTGTCAGTCAAAGAATGAAACAGTTTGACTTCTAGATCAGCAACATAATAAGCAGCAGAGGTACCTTCATGGGCTGCCACCTCAGGCAAGTATGTGGCACTTCGCTTAGTATTGTAGTCAGGATCAGTAAACTCAATAATTATACCATGCTTCCCAACCTGCAATTACAACTCAACAGATCAGATAGAAAGGAGGCTAATAATTCAAGTATTATTCTATGTACCCCTCAGAAGATGTAGTTTTTCCTGTGGGTATTACTAAAAGTTCAGCATGTCATTACCCATATATAAAGAATTAATGGAGGACAATCATGTTGGTGATTTACAATTTATACTGCAGTACAGCAAGACTATTTGATATCATTTTCCAAATTCTTTTGGGATAATAGAAGAAGATTCATTAAAAGAAAGAGAAATAATGCAATGCAAAACCAGAGGATAAGGGATCCTCTTCAAAAAATCATGACATCCAAAATAAAAATAGGTACAATTGATTCCACCCATGAAATGATGAGACACTAGTGTTGTGAAAGCATCCATGCGCTGCCAAGAAAATGGCCCTTCCCCACAGCTCCTGAAATGATGATGTGCTGTATTCACTAAAAATCCGATGGTTCCTAGATATACAAAATTCAGTGACATTATTCCATCTGACCATTCTGACTATACTTCGTTATAACATACTGAATACCTGTGATAGTAAGGAATGGAACATATTTTATAGTAAAATCTTCAAACTATCTCATTTTTTAAAAGTCAATTGGCTCAGTTAGTATTATGCTGTAAGGTAGTAAAACTGCTTTTGAAACAGTAAAAACAGCTCTAAGGTAAAATCAGTCCAGTGTTTGGTTAAGCTTATTTTGATACAAAAAAAGGCAATCAATATAAATATGATATTGTATTTAATAAATTATATTATAAAATTAATAATAAATATAGAAATGATAAAAAATTGCATAATAGTAAAAAGAAAACAAATTATTTAACTAACAATAAATATTTTTTTTAAATTTTTAAAATTTTAAAATAGTTAATTTAATTTCATTACTCATTTTTTTGTTCAATATAAATATTGGTCATTATCATTTAGTTTTAAAATGATAATTATTTAAAATAATTTATAATAAATATAAAACTGTTGATAATAAATTTATATTTATTTTATTTAAAAATATCAAATCACAAAATAGTAAGACATAAATTTTATAAATATACATTAACAATATTATTAATCTCCCATAGCAAAACCATTTTTTAAAAACATCTATTAAAATCTTTGAATATACTCATTAAAAATATTATTCACCTCATACAGTACAATCATTTCTTAAAAGCATCTATTTCCGTCCTTTGATTTCGCGCTTATCAAAAGACAATAACAAATTCTGGTTTTATGCAGAAGCACTTTTATTTCTTAACATTTGGCTCGGTTCATGCTTTTGGCAACAATCAGATGCAGAAAATAAACCAGGTGGGCACTAAGTCAATTCTTACACTAAGAAATGAAATCTACACAATGCACAAGATTGACCGCTAGTTTGCTATTATTTTGGGGAAGGTGAAATAAACATATCATAGGTTATGTAAGTTTTGCAATTTAAAACTGCAAGTGAATATGAAATTTTTTTCAAACCATACCAACTGCCATGACCTGTTAACTGTCACTTCTCAGTTATGAAGAAACTCTTACACTGTTAGGATTGAGGGAAGCAGGAGAACTGGAAAGGAAAGAAAAGTAATGGATGCTCGCTTTCCCTTCTATTTTTTGGAAATAATTAGTAAAAGGAAGTGAAAGATTTTATTTTCTTTCCTTTAAAAATTACTTCCTTTTTTTTCCTCCCCATTCCTTTTTGGATATTTACCAAAATATAGTGTTAGACAAACAGTAGCAAGGAGAAAATGAAAGATAAATGCTTCTAAACAATCAACTCAACAACAAAAAAAGCAATTCTCAACCCCCACTCAGTTCTCAGTTAATTTGCATCTACTATGGTGCTAACAAACAGTTAATAAGAAAATGAGGTATTAAGCAGTGAATGTTATTTCAACAGTATTTCTCCTGGCAAAATGTTTTCATGGGTAGAGATGTGAGGTGAATTTTTTTCATCAAACATCAAAAAGACTTTAATTATAGGTCAACAATTGCTATAGAATCTTTCAATTTTAGATATTCTAAAAGTAAATTATTTTTTCAGCTTTCTGTTTAAAGATTTCTTTTATTTGTTTCTTGCTATTCCATGCAGAAACATCATACTCCAAATGTTCTAGAATACCATAGGAGGTCTGAAGGCACTTACCTCATAATCTAGGTAGTTGTTAGCTGTTTCATAATTGGCCAGAATGGAAACCATACATTCTAAATAAGGCACTTACCTTCATGTCAAGGTAGTTGCTATTCTTAAGGTCCCTCTCAGGTTGCTTATTCAACCTTGAAGTACCTATAGATCATTTGAGTATTCTTCATATTCAAGGTTCAATCTAGCATGCAATTTATTTCAATTATTCTTCTTTCAATATTTCACCATAAACGTGTCAATAAATTCATAGCTAGAAAGCATGCAGAAACATCATGTTCTAAGACAAACTCTTTAAGGAAGATGAATCATTAGTGGAAAACTCAACTTCAAGAGTTCCTTATTCCTCTACTACATGCAGAAACATCATATTCCAAATAGGTTCGAGGGCACTTACCTCCCAGTCAAGGTAGTTGTTAGCTGTTTCATAATTGGTCAGAATGGAAACTGTACATTCTAAGTAAGGCAATTCTTTAGCTTGTATAGGGGGAAACCTGCGATCTCTCAAAGCACTGCAAGATGCAACAATGACAAAAAGAAAAGCATCACATAGCATTTTTTTCATTAATCTATAAACGAGCTCTAAATGAATTGGAAAAAAAAAAGTCATAACCAAGTAGTAAGCTTATGAAGTCAACAGAAAACAAATGTACAAACCACCTTTAACAAGTAAAGCTCATCCATGGTTAGTTAAATACATAAACACAAATGGGCTCTAATCAAGCTCATTCAAATAGCTGTTCCACAAGCACAGTGATTTCATCACATCATGAAGAATATCTATGAAGCCTTGTCAAACCTCTTTCCCTCAAACCACAAGTGAGCAAATGATTAAGGAGATTTCAAATACCATCCAGAAATAGCAGAAATTGAACCTTGGATACCCTTCATTTGAACTGCATTACCTATATCTGATATTAAAATATACATTCCTATAAAGTTACAGCTACAGAATAGTGCAGTGTACAAAGTTTCCAATTGGCCTAATAAAAGCACATTGAATCACACATGCACTTGATTATAGATGTTTGTTTGCCTCTTATGCACTGTCACCACCAAGGTATACTGTGATAAAAGGCAACTGTTGACACCTATTAATCGATACCACATTCTCCAAAAGGTAACACTGGGTACACATCCTACAAATATTGTATTCTATATTTTGGTTACTTCATTGACTGGCTGTATCTTTCCATAAGAAATGCCCTGTATGGATATGCATATCTTCTAGTGCCTTCATTCCATTTTTATCCTTGGTGGTCCAGAGAAATATATTTCTAGCTCCAGAAGCCAATGGGCACTTACTATCACTTCTTCCAACTCTATTTTACTAACAATCAATTACATAATAAGAAAAAAAGAAGGATACTAGTAACAGAGGTAACAATCTCAATCTGATGAATATCAGTTTTGTTTTAAATCAGATCAAATAAAAATCAGGACAGGGACAATATATCATCTTTAAGATTATCCACCAAGATTAAAGAAAAATTAAAACCTGCTGAAAAAACATCCCAAAAAGATATTTTAAGAAGTTTTTCCCACCTATTTGGTGTCATTAACAGAGAAATAGGGAGAGATTCCTTACAATGATTACACAACAAGAAAAATTCAGATGCAAATTAAATCCTTGAAGACAATACCTATTTAGAGCACAGTCCCTGAAGCCATTAATGAGGCAGCGGGCTTCTAGAGTTCCAATACATCCACGTAAACGAGGCTCTGAACCATTCACCACTTTCTTCCAAGTGACAAACAATGGGCTGAAGAGGAAGAGTTATGCATCAGATATGGGCATAAAGTGGAAACTATAATATTGTTCCGATCTAATAGAAAGCACACAGCTTATCGATTTTAATTGGAGTAATTTAATTTCAATAGATTATACTTCTCACAAGTTCTTTACTTTTTTGTTGTTGTCATGTCTGCCTAGTCTTATTTACAACAAGAACTTCATTTTCTCTGGTACATGGCCATCCATTACCTAAGAATATTTGTTATCCTTGCTTTCAGCTGAAGATTAAAATTTCTAAATTCATAGCTAGAAAATTCGAAAGTAAAGTGTTTTATTAAGTGGAGAATAATAAATAACAAAAATATAAAACATAATCAAAAGCCATCTTTAGTCTAAGAGATACTTAGTCAGAGAAACTTAGAATTTAATAGTTTAGATAGACTATATAACCATAGAGTGGTTTGTATTTGATTTTGTTTTTATTCTCATTGCTAACATAGGATGGAACCTAGCTTTCTATTACTAGGATGAAGTGACACCTAAATTTCTATTGGGAAGAAGATGATATCCAGCTTCCTATTGATAGGATGAAGTGGCACCCAAGTTTCTTATTTCCAATAATATTCTATCAATTCATTACGCCAATTATTTGCAATTAGTCTATCTTGAAAGACATCTGCCAGCAAATGGCACTTAAATAAGTCATTTCATGTGCTGTAACAGGACACCAAATTATGAGTAAATTCTGACAAACTAAATTAATGTTCCCTCCTCCCATTTCTCTCAAAATCCTGTTCCAATTTGCTCTTGCTTCCCGCTTATTCCTCTATTGCTTGCTTCTCTGCCTCTCTGCTCACTTGCAGTCAAGTCCTCTAGCAGATTTAAACTCTCTTATTTGTGGTATTTTTCTTTCTATTTCCCACCACCATGTGCTGTTATTAAAAAAATGCTCAGTTTTGTGTGCTTCAGTTTGTTCTGTTGCCTCATTAGCGCAAAAGTTCATATTTTGAAGTACAACCAAGGCGCCATCAAACCTGGTTCTCTGGAACAAAATCTAAGCATCAAGTGCTTTGGTGAAATCAATTAACAAAAAATAGGCACAATCTCAATGGCTCAACCATCTTGCCGAATTCTCAAGTAGATAATATGTCAATACAAACCATATTAAAAATGACCAATGGCCTTGAGAGAGCATTATAAGCATGCACAAAAAGAACTGTAAACTCTTCACCTTTCAAACAATGTTAATAGATGTAACAGTTGTCAAACTGCACTCAGCACATATGTGTAGAATAGCAATATGAACACCAAGATTATCGAAATAGATAAACAGAGAGACCCTTCCTCCTACCTCCTCCTTTCCACCCGTGAAGAAAACAAGGGGAGAAAAATTCAGCACCTTACTTTCTTGCATGGGCTCAGGTGAGGAGACTCAACAATTTCAAGTACGAGAAAGCTATGTTAGAGTAAATTACCAAGTGGAACCTCAACTATTGAATGCAAGAGGAAATATTGACATAAAAAATAAGAAAAGCTAAGTTTAAACCAAAACAAATGAACAAAAAAGACATCTTCTGGTCCAAATAAATGACAAGAAAAAAAGAAAAGAAAACACCCTCTGGTTTAAGCAGATTCTAGACAACATACTAAAGATTTTTTTTTTTTGACAGTTAAAACAAAGTAACTGTTTGCTCAATCACAAGCTGTACAACTATTCATAGTCTTTTCACAAAGATTTTGGGTGGCTTTGATAAACATTGCACCCGAAAAAACTCTTCATGCGTTGCATTTGAAAAAATAATTTTAGTTCACATATTTGGAAAGATTAGGAGAATGAACCAAAAGACATTCATAAATTTCTTTTAACACCACACACTAAATGGGCAAAGAGAATTAATCAAAATCAGTAAAGGGAATTGAGAATATATTTATATACACCCCCTAATATAGATGTAAGAAACTCAACATGAGAATCAGAATTGACCAGAATCATACCCTATATGAAAAAAACAAAAAAAAAAACTATCAATGATTTAAGAAAAAAAAAAGGACGAAATCAGAACAGAAGAAAGTAGAGGGAGAGTACTGTTGGCCCTCGTTAAAGGCAGGAGGAGGAGCTTCCTCGCTGTTGTAGTGAGCGATCAAAGCATCGAAGCAATAGACAGCCATCTCCCTATTTGCAGACACCATCTTTCCCCTCCAATTTCAGTCTTCTTCTTCCCCGAACACCAATTAGTGCGGAGAGGAATCCCTCTTTCTGTGCGTGAGGACCAAACCGGAGGGTGGGTGTCCTTTATAGAAAGCACAAACACAGGGAAGAAGATGAAAAAGGAATCAATTAATTTTTTAAACTTTAAATAAATAAATAAAGGGAGAAATGCAATGAAACTTGGACTCTTGCTTCATTTAATTGAAGGGAAAATAAATAATTTATTTAATTTTTGGTCCCTGAAATTATTGAAAGGTTTTAACTTTAAAGAAAGAAAGAAAGAAAGAAAGAAAGAAAGGTTTTAACTTTTCCCCTCTTTCTCTCTTGCGCTCTGCGTGTGTTAATGGACTTGGCAGTATTCATTTCACCTTCTTCCTCACAAGTTCTGCGACGTGTTTTCACCATCCTCCCTGTTTTTCTCCTTTTCTATTTTTTATTTTTGCCTGAAATTATTAAAATTTTTTCAGAAAAAAAAGTTTCTTAATATGTATAAATAACAACTGGATTTATATTCTTCAAAAAAACAAAAAAAAAAAATTGATTTCATCATTCAATTAAAACATAGATGTTAATTAAATTTAGTTTAGTACTTGCTAAATTTGATTTACTATGTATTAAGTGATGACTATGTAAATTATTAAATGATATGTAATTCATAATTTTGTTTAAAAACCATAAAAAAATACTTTTTTTTTTTATAAAATAGGGAGAAAAAGAATAATAAAAATAATAGTGTAAAGAGGAGATATAATCTATACAAAAACTTATTAAATTTTTTTTATCAAAGGTAAAACTTAAATTAATGAAATTAAATTTAAAATTTTAGTTAATAGTATAGTAGATTTAAAAAATTTGAACATATAGTTGAGATTTAAAAAATAGCAAATATTTTAATATGCGAAGGAAATTTAAGAGACATTTCTTCTCATGTGAACACATTATATTATAATACATAAAGTTTATTACTAACATATTATGAGTAATATATTTGACTTCAAAATCCTGCACACTTGATGTCTAGAGGATCTACAAATCCTTCTTGGCTACACAAAATTTTTTTAGGAATTACCTCGTGACATCCAAGTATAAAGTGTGTTGTATGTGTCAATTGCTATTTAACTAATAAGTCAGTAGAATTCAAAGTTCATTTTTAAATACCAATCAACACATAAATAATATTTCTATTCTAACACTAACCAACAAAAGAGGAGAAAAACTTTGTTTTGTATAATAATTTTTTTTTTTTTTGAACAAGTATTGTTGCAAAATTATATTTATGCCATTATAGTGAATAATAATAATAATACTTTGCTTACCTATATATGTATGTGAAATACACGTATCAATTTACTTCAATGGAGCACATATGCATACATATCTTGTTTTTATTTTTTTAAGCTGATTTGGTTTTAAGATATACAATATTATTAAGTCACTGAAAAAAATATTAAAATTTGTTTACTACCAATTTATTTGTTTTGGTTAAAATCCTACAAATATTAGTATTTTCTGACATTGTACTTTGAAATGCAGCCCAAATTTTGTTGAGTTCTAATTAAATATCAATATGCGAAAATTTTGTTTCAGAAAAGATGCTTCCTTCGAGAATAAATGTGGCACACGGTACATTTATGTACATACACATATACGTGTATGTGTTCTTAATATTCCTCAAGGTATTATTAAAATTTGCATCAAGATCTCCAAAAATCTCATCTGATGAAACTGATATCGAAATACTGAGAGTGAAATACACAGCTAAACTAATAAAGTGGAATCTATCGCCAACACCAATAATTCAGGTGATATAATCGGTATTATCATTGCTAAACAACAATAAATAGTACTAAAAATTTTCAAGTTTTGATCACTGCAGACGTTCTAAATTTGATCAAGGTAATTCACCACTTTCAAGCCAGAGAAAATGGCATGGCTTTTTTTTTTTTAACTACAATGATTCAACAGGTAACCCTAGGCCGTAGCCTCCAACTTTACAGAGAAAGGTTGACATTGCTTGAGCACCTTCTGACCGAAATATTTACGTGTTTGTCCTTCTATAATGGACTCCAAAGATATTTCAATCAGAGTCGGAATCATGTCTTCTCCTTTCCTTTCTTTCCTACGTTTCTGTCTGTCATCTGAATTCTGAGAGTGCCGCTTCTCACGCCTTTCATGCTTGTCACGCTTTTCAGACCTGTCACTGTCATTCTTCTCGTGCTTCTTCTCCTCATGCCTCCTCTTTCTTTTACTGCTTTCATCTTCTACAGCAGTATCCCTTGAAGGGTTAGTAATGGTCACCTTCACTATCTCAGGTGAAACTTCCTTCTCACTGGATTTGAGTGTGCTTGGATCTTCCCAGGGACGAGGTGCTCTGCAGGAAGCAGTTAAGAAACAAATGAAATTGTAGAAACAACAGGAAAACGTGCTGTGCACTGACCTGAACCAAACTAGCCCATGGCTTCCAATGAACTATCTACAAAATAATGGTTTAATGGTCGAAATAGAAAAAGGGCTTAAATGCGCACAACAAACTCACAATAGTAATCAGATAGGTCGCACAAAGATTCAAGCATATGCAATTAACTTCTAGCTCCATGAATTGTATTTTGGGACTTTTCAATTTTTAATTAAATAACTAGTATCTTTGGAGAACATAACTAAGATCGTTTGAAAAGGATAATCACCACCTACCCTTCTCAAACCCCAGACAGTAAAAGAAAACATTCTTTCTTCCCCACAAAAAAGGGAAATGTTTTAAGCTATACAACATAAGGCAATGAAAAGCAAGCAAGCCAGCATGGTTATCTTCATTCTTCTTTTCAGGAACATACCTTGAGAAACCAAGACCATCCACACGTGCTGCTTCAGAATACCCTGCTCCCAAGTCCTCTGCAGTAGAGCCTCGCTT